GAATTACTGTAGAGAAATTTTACTACCAAACTGCATGAATTTGATTCCCAGAATTAGATATGGAAAGTCGTATACACTTGGATTTTTCTGCTTTGATTCAGAGTTTATTCCGGAATTGGTTAGAATCATACTCTGTTTGAAAATTGGTTCGAATCATATTCAGAGGTTACTCGGGAATTGGCACAATTGTGTTTCTTGAGCTTCATGGCAAAAGCTGTTACTACTCAAAACTCCTTATTGTTATATTTTTCTCTTATTTGTAGTTAGCTTTGGGGTTCAATGAAATATATCTTTTGCATTCCAAGCGACTCTAATACTTCTTCTGGTTGTCATTCTGCAAAGGATCTTCTCTAGTAACCACTGCCTCTTAAACCCATTGCGGTATCACGAAATCGCGATAGGCACAACATTGATCTACAAACCGAAAAGCAACTAATAAAGAAGAGAGACCAGCATCATTCATCAGGACACAGCAAGGCCAAGAGCTAAAGGAACCACACTTGTAATAATGAAGTAGAGTGTTACCAGTTCCTCTTTGCACACTTATAACAATAATATATAGCAAGCATGTTTGATCAAGTTTAGAAACTAATTCCCTCCTAAGGGTGCAATAATACAACACAGAAGATAGATAGTCTTTATTTACTTCATGGATTTCCTCTTCATATTCTCAATAACTCAACTGGATCTTCAAGGCAAGGACTTAGCCATTTGTCTGAGAAGAAACTTTTGGATCTTTCCAGTAGAAGTCTTTGGAAGCTCCTCCTGAAATATCACTTTCCTCGGAACCATGTACTTTGGTAACTTTGTCTTACAAAACTCCCTTATTTCCCTCTCAGTCACTGACCCATCACCATTATTATCATATTTCAAGCTCACAAAAGCACAAGGTGTCTCTCCCCACATCTTATCCGGTTTAGCCACCACCGCAGCTTCTTTAACCACCGGATTTGTGTACAGAACCGTCTCAACCTCTGCGCTGCTTATGTTCTCTCCTCCGCATATGATCACATCCTTTGACCGGTCTTTAAGTTCCAAGTAACCATCTTTGTGGATAACCCCAACATCTCCGGTATAGAACCATCCGTCCTCTCTCATACACGCTGCGGTTCCTTCGGGGTCTTTGTAGTAACCCAACATAACCGATCCCCCTTTGAGCACAATCTCTCCTACGGAAACTCCGTCGTGCTCCACACTTTTTCCTGTTATCCGGTCCCTAACATCAACGTCCGCTAATCCGATAGTTCTTACTCCTTGTCTTGATTTCAATCTAGCTTTCTCCAATGGATCAAGATGATCCCACTCACGCTTCCAAGCACATGATACAACTGGGCCTCCGGTCTCTGTTAGACCGTACCCATGACCGACATTGAAACCGAGGGACTCTGCTCGGGAGATGATGGCTGCCGGAGGTGGAGCTCCGGCCGTCATAACCTGTTTTCATAAACCCAAAACAGAGTTGTATCAAAAGTTTTACAAGTTATAGTGAAAACATAAGTACTGACAATAAACCAAGAACCAGTGTTGTCTAATAATACCTGAACCCGGTTCTCTAGCGGTTTACGAGATGGATAGTTGGTTAGCATGTTGAGAACCATGGGTGCAGCACACATGTGAGTGACGTGATGCCTATCGATCAAGTCGTAGATAGTCGGCGCGTCGACTCTCCGCGTGCAAACGTTGGTGGCTCCAACCGCCGCGGTGCCCCACGTGTAGCCCCAACCGTTAGCGTGGAACATCGGTAAAGTCCAGAGGTAAACCGGTCGGTTCGGTAAAGACCAGTCAAGCAAAGAGCTAACAGTTAGCATGAATATTGCTCTGTGGCTAAGCACTACTCCTTTGGGAGCCGACGTCGTTCCAGAAGTGTAGTTGAGCACCATTGATTGCCATTCGGTTTGTGGACGGATCCATTTGAATCTCGAGTCTCCTTTCTTCATAATCCCTTCGTATGTGTCAAGAAAATCCGTCGCGGACGAAGAATCGTCCGCTTCGTCGTCGTTGAGGAGGACGAGGTGAGGTTTCTTGTCTTTTCCCAAGAACGAGACTGCTTCGAGGACTAAGGAGATAGAGTGATGGTCAACAAAAACGAGCTTGGATTCACTGTGACGTAGGAGGACAGAGAGTGCGTGTGCATCTAAACGTGGGTTGATATTGTTTAAGACGGCTCCGGACATTGGGACAGCGAACTGAAGCTCGTAGACAGAAGGTACGTTGGGGCCTACCACGGAGACGACTTGGCCTCGGTTAATGCCGAGTGAGGAGGATGTAAGAGCAGAGGCGATGCGGAGACAGCGGTTATGGGTTTCGGACCAAGTGTGGACGGTGTCTGCGGTATGGAGGATGGAGGGACAGTCTCCGTAGACCGAGGCGGCTCGGTCTAAGAAGCCGAGGACAGTGAGAGGTGTTGAGTTTGAAGGGTGTGGAAGTAAGAGTTCCATAGTTTGATTTTTGTTTATAATCTTGTTTTGTTTTATGGTTTGTTAAAAGACTCGATAGGGTTTGTATTTATAAAATTTTGAAGGAAGAAGGTTTCGAGATTATTTTATGCATTTTTTTATTTTTGTAACTATAATTGATTACATATGGCCCATGAAATCAGCTTGATGAAATGAAATAAACAAACCTTCTTTAGTTTCTTAACTTATCAAAGTACTAGATTTGGTTAATACATATATTTTTGGAAATACATTGATGAGTGCATAGAAAAACGGAGAGGTGTGTATTGAATGGAGACAGAGTTTACCAACTAACAAAAGTTGGACCTCACAAGTGCTGTTTGTAATACTTCCAAGATTGTGGCGATAAGTTCTTAGTTTGGACTATGGGTCGAAGGAGAGTTGGCTAAAACAATGGTCCATCTTTCTAAATATACATTCAAAGTAGGAATATATGTTTATATAAGGTTAAGACGATT